TCACAAGAAGAGCAGTTGAATTACGCCTACAAAAGGCATATTGTTAAAATCTGAAAAAAGTGTCGCATCAAGATGCAACCTTAGAACACATCTAGCAGGATAATTTGAAAGGGGAAAAAAACCAGGTCAGTGCTTCGAACTTTCTGAAATACAGCTGCAGCTAAATCATCCATTTCAAATAAAAGGCGAAAAAACTCCAGGTGCAGTATCCGTCAACGATGAGCGGCATTTCTGTAACCAATCATTTCATTGGGTTCTGCGTGTTGCAGTTTGGAGCAATATTACCCCTTACCAGATAACAGTTTGGAGCTGATTTCCTGCTTGGTTGTTTATGTGTGTCAGTACCTGCTCGTTCAGTTGGGTTTTTTTAAGTTTGTCCATCTTAAGCTCCATTACCATTACTCTGGTGCTCATTGTTGTATCTTTTAAACCACAGATGAAGAGATCAACAAAACAGATGGTGCTCAATAAGCACAACGGTATCAGGACATGTATTGGACTTAACTGTAGCAAATATTAAAAGATCAAGATGTTTTCAGTATTACATGTTGACAGCCCTCAAAAGAAGGTAGAACAAATGATTCAAGCCATTTTAGGTTGCTTCTCCATTTGAGAATGATATGTTTCAGGATTGAGAATGCCCAGTATTTTTTCATTTTCTTTGATAATAATGTTTCCCCAGTCACACAGAGCAAGCTATCAGTTGTTTGGTGAAGCTACAGCCCCAAGCCCAGTATATTACATGATAGGGACAAAAATGAGGAACCAGCTACTAGTAAGATCAATCTGGAAAGGTTTCTAGGATACTGAGTGGCTGCCGCGTTAAAATGTCAAGTACAATATCACAGCATTGAACGCAGAAATATCCCTCGAGAAGGAGAGCTTGATCATGAGAAGAAAAGACGGCAACAAACTATCTGAAAGCCGAAACACAGATGTTAGTGTAGTGTTAATTGCATTGTCAAGTCTCAACACGCCCAGCTCATAATACACGAAGTGGTTGAGAAAAAAAAAGAAGCATCAGAATCCAGGCTTCCCTGATGATGCAAGCTTTAGAAATATTCTGATTTGCAATTTCATGCCCAGCTTTTCTTACAGCAAAGAAGGTCAAATACTACAGCAGCTTCTAATATCATTCATTCTAAAGGAATGACTTGAGTTAAGGGCCTTAAGCCCTAAGCCTTGCTTATTTAAAACAAAAGGTAATTAAATTCCCTTTGAATTTCAACAATCCAATCTCGGGTTTAAGCAGCTAATCTCTTCCATTTGCCCTCGTATCTATATAGTATATAAAACCAGAGGAATACGAGTTAGGGTAAATAATTTTAGTCGTCTTTTGAACTTCCAACTTCACCGTTATAAAAAATGAATAACTTTTACCCCCTCATTATCCAATCACAGCTTACCTTTATTTATAGCTACATATAATCAGCCCAGTCTAAGTATTAAATAACTATAACATTATAAACCAAAGTTCTTTAATAAAAAAAAATATTTTAACTTGATTTTTTTATATCAATTTGATTTATGTAAACAACAAAAAGTTTTTGTATAAAACCCAGTATATTTTTCTAATGGTAGGCCCTAATAAACAATAGTAGTACTTGTGGGGTCATAATGGTATGATAAATTGGGCCGGGGCTGGCGCCTGGTTATCAATTTAAAATTCTTAAGAGACGATTTACCATATTTTTGAAACCTTGTGGGCTATGAAACTACTAAAACAGCAATTACGGAAAGTTTAGCGTCTAAACGCTGTCGTTTGGACATGAGAGCGTAGGAGCATATACAATAACCATATAACAGTGGACCCGATCGCACTAGGTCACAGCCGGCACACTCGTAGAACCGCAAAACCCCATCTCCCCAACATTTCTAATTTTCAAACTGGTGTCCGACGAAAATTAGGGCTTTGAGTCTCAGAGAGACCTTAGATTTGGGGCGGTATTCGCAGCATCTGCACTTCTTCTTTCTTTGATTTCAGCGATCAGAAGCAAATGTCGCCTCCTCCTGGACTCTACTCCGGCACCAGCACTCTCGCCTTGGTAAACCTCCCCCCGCCGGATTTTCCCCTCTGCCTAGCTCCGCCGCCAGCTTTAATTTCCCACAATTTCATTGATGTGTGATTTAATTTGGATTTTTTTCGTTTGCGTTTAACTGGTGGCAGGTGGCTCGTGCTTCAGTCTTAACGTTTGGAGTCGTCTATGGAAACCTGAAGCTCAAGTATCTTAAGGTATTATTCTCTATTATTTTTCTATTTTTCTCTAATTTTTTGAAGTTTTCCTTTTGTTTACTTTTGTCTGATTTTGAGTTCTTTTTGTGTAATTATTTTGTGTCAGTTGGTGATTTGGGTTTACATAGTCAGAAATGAACATGTATGGTGTATGTAGATTTGTTATTTTTTGGGGAGTTTTACAGTCCCTTTAGGGTAATGTATGGATGAGATTAAATTCACTGTTGGATATAAAACAAGAGTTATCAACCCGTACATGATTTCAAAAGTTTAAATCACTTATTGATGTGGCAAGATGCAAGTGTATTAAAATCATGGGTATCGTACACAAAAAGGACCGTAGCATTTTGTTGTTTTTTAAACTGTGTTAGAGGGTGGTTTTAGAGGCTAAAGTAAAAAAGGCCCAGTAGTTGATGGATTTAACTTCTTTAAATTTATAAATGAAGATAAGATCAATAATAAATCCCCCCCTTCCAAAAAAAAGGGAAAAAGAGATCGATAATTTAATTGTTACGCTCACTATGATTACAATGGAAAATGAAAATTAAAGAATATGTGATAGTTTACAATTTCTGAGAAAGTGTGCAAATGTAGAACTAAACCGCAAAGATGTAGGATAGAACTTTTTGACTATCCTTTACTTTTAAAGATTGTGTACCTTTTGCCCTTCTCTAGTTTCCTTTAATTGCAAAGATGGGGCGAGAGTGGTACTATGTGTCAAAATAAGTTTATACCAAGTGGTGAGAATGTTAGTTGATGCTTGCTTCTTAGGTGCTTGTTGAGGTTTTAACCTAAAGTGGTGACAAGTATTGGGTAGGTGGTTTTTAATTACCTTTTGTTATTCCTGAAATGAGCTTATTCAGTTAATCATCTAGGTCTTGGATATCCTTTACTCTTGGGCTGGCATTGCTCGGTTGTAGTCTTAATATCTGTAGATGACAGGATTGTGCTAGGTGTCTTCTGTACTTGAGAAAATTTCGGTAGGTTTATTGATCACTTTATCAAGAGGTAGATTCTATCTACTTAGCATTTGTATATAGCTTGGTTAAATTGTAATTTTTATCTCTGATGTACTATAGCTCAAATGAATCTGGCCTTCAAGTAATGTGGCGTTGCAGAATTCTTTCAAGAGTTGGGGTTGGTTTGTGGGGGAACATAAAGTTCCTCTTGTACAATTTATATTCCCAGGGCATTTCTGTTTTTGGTGATGGTTTTGGATTGATTTATGTTCATGGTTTTTGCTGCTGCTTGCTTCTTTTCCACCCTGAAAGCAGGAACAAATTTGCAGGCACGCTTTAAGGTTATTCCCTAGACAAAATATTTACCCTTAATCTGTAAATTTAGGTTACAAAAAACTTGTTTATATGGTATTTTAGTTGTTTGCCGTCTTATCTTGTGTTCTATTTACTTTGCTGATTGTATCTTCAAGATACTTCTGAGTATTATTAAAGTAATTTTGCTCATTTGTTCCTGTTCAAACTGTTAATCTTTTTTTTCTTGCGAGTACATATTCTGCCAGTAGTTTCAATATTCAAGATATCGATGTCGCAGGATACAGTACTGCCTTTTTCTGATTTATGCTGATTTACTGCGTTGTTTTGTATCCCAGGTGAAGGCCAACTCTCTGAAGAAGGCTGAAGCCAAGGCACATCACTGATTTGGAAGATTGCTGGTTTTGCCTGCGGACAGCAATAATATAGTGATGAAAGTTCACTTCGGCCTGGTTAATAGGACCATCATTTTCTACTTACTCTTCAATTGTTTTTTTCCCCCCCTTAAGAGTTGTCGTTTGATCATGGCTTTAACCATCATGACAGTGGTTAAATCTTCTCCATGACAACAGATGGGATGCTTAAGAGTTTACGAAAAATAATTGGTTATTACTTTTAATGGGCAAGGTGATGCTGCATAATTCGATTTGATCATCTCTCCATCACTGGTATAATGCCCTAAATTCTGACACACTCATGTTCAATACTAGAATTTGGGCATGTATCTGCAGGTTGGCCACTTGGCCTCTCGAACCTGTCTGCCAATTAGCATTGAAGTGAAAATTTTTATTTCCGTCGCGTCACATGCAGCATTTGGAGCCTGTCCGCAGAATCATACGATGTTCATCATTGTGGTGGCTGGGAGTAGGCTTTCTTAGTGTCTTTAGTGGTGAAACAAGGCCAATGGGATCTCCACCGAAGTGGCACAGGGTCTAACAGTATAGTTTCCTTCCCATCCGCCTTGAGGAGTGATGTTGAAATCAAAAGCATGTCACGGATGTTGGTAGCTGTGGGGTTAAAGGCGGATGGTCAATGCCACTGCTCTCGACGGAGTATATTCAAGTGGGGCTTTTTAATTAAAAAGAAAAAAAAAATCCCAAAAGGTTATATTTTTCAAACATCTTCTCAAATGGTTAACAGGGCATTTGGTGATTGCGATGTTTCATGACAAGATTAGCCAATACTTTCTTTGATTTACTCAGGCATTTATTTATGAAATGCAATCAATAAATGCATTGTTCGTAAATTTTATTTGTTAAGTACGTTTTTTTTTTCAAAAAAAAAAAATTCACTATTTGGGCGGTCTTTCAAAAAATTATCGTAATTTGGGGAACTTCCTTGCCCTCGACGGCAGTGGCTCTCAGAAATAGTTTTGCCACCGTGTAGTGTGCCAATCTTTTCTTTTCCACGGTTTAGCAATCGCTGTAACATCTCTTCCAGTTTCCCTGGGTATTCAAGCGATATTCATCCGTAGTCTGAAGCGACTGTAACTTCCGAAGATCAGTGGCCTTTCTTCTGTAACAATATAGATGCTCCCTTGCGTTAATCCATGGTTTATACATTTTTTATAGATCTAGTCTTAGGTTTATACACAGAACTCCTACCTCAGAACGGGACATTAAGAGCATGACGACTCAGTGATAACATATTAATCTAAAATGAGACGGTTTATTCTATTGCTGCACCAAAGATGAGCAAGGAAAGAAGGTTTTACGGCCAGGTCCTTTCATCCAGATGCATATTGTCCACAAGTAACATTCTTCACCTTTCTGTTATATAACTTCAGGAAGTCAGCGCACTAATCTGTAGGAATAAAGCGAAGTTAGAGCATGTCTTGACAAAAGCTGAATACTTCATTATTAAGTATTTACAGATTGCTCAACTTGTTGCATGCAAACTATGAAAACACCAGTCCTGCAAACCATGAAATGTTGCTAAATTTTGAGTTGTTGAAAATGATTAATTCACCGAGTCAATGGAATAATAACCATTTAAGAAGCCAAGCATGCTCAACTCTGAAATCGCTACTCACAAGTCACACCCCCCATTCCAAGGAACTACTTGACATAAATAATTCCTTCGTCATCATCACCCTCCCACTCCTCATCTTCTTCAGTTTGATTAGATGACTCGTACTGATCATCCCCTTGACCATTTGCCTCCTTTTCCTCATTCTCTTTCTTTATTCTGTCCAATATAGCAATAACCTGAAAAAGGATCTATGGTTAAGCAAGCACTAAAGCGCATACAGAATGAAAACCACCAAATCATGAAGCTTTTAAGCTTAGGCATAGGATACATTGGTACAAAACTAAAATGCAGTTCATCACATATATCTGTATAAATATATGTGTGTGTATGTTTACACACCCACACAACCACACACCCACATGTACATATTCTACAAACTCACGAAATTCAAAGCCTTTTAAGGACTGCATCATGATCAACTGCAAGTTTTTCAGTCAACATCACATGCCACATTTGTCTTGAAAATTGAGGTATGATAAATCCAAAAATGCATTTCAAGTAATTACATGCTCTTTTTCTAAATTAGAGATTGTATTAGCGAAGTAGTTGAATTTTTGAATATGCTCAGGAAATTACGAGTGAAAATGAACTTGATAGCATGCTCAGACAGGTTGTTGCAATCACAAGGTCTACTGGCCACTGCATATTTAAAATGTCTACTTGTCTCTTGCTCATACAGTAAACAGCTAAGAAACTAATCACAGAGTTATCTGATAAACCCCTACAGGTTTTTTTCTTGACAACTGAAAGTAGCTCTCTCTATTTCTTCTTGTTTTTCTCATTTTCATCAAAATCGAAGCATCACATAAACTAAAAGTAAATGATAGCCAATTAAACCAGACAAGGGAATTAGGATTTGGAAGCTACCAACATTGTGTAAGTAGAGATCTTGATAGGGAATTAATAAAGGTAAACAGAAGTGCTCAAAGCGAAAGCTGCTGAGTTTTTGCAGCAGTGTAAATATTTTGTGTTTATCTCTTGGATAAGCATCAGAAAAAGCAGATGATAACCTAAAAAGCAGGATCAAATGTGATTTCGTTGCATCAGACGAAGAATAGTAACTTCTTACCCTGCTCCCTTGTTCTAGAGACTCATCCTCAATAAAGCGAATCTCAGGAGTCAGCCTTAATTTCATGCGCCTCCCTAGCTCGCTCCGAACATATTTTGCTTTGGACTTCAGCCCTGTAAGTGCTACTTCCTTTCCTCTTTCATCACCAAATACAGATACATAAACTTTTACAACCTACAAAAAGTGCAGGAAGCCTTAAAAGACAAGCCCACAAGTTCTTGAAGCAACAATGACAAGGCCGCCCTTTCAACTAGCATGTTATCAAGGATCACCTGCACTGGTCATCTGACTGCATATTGTGCTACAGATCACAAGAAATCATCATTCATAATCATCCGACATGACTATCAACTATTTGTCCACTTGGGCACATACACAAATCAAATAATGAGCCTGTTGACGCTGCCATTCTTTACTGCTAGAATACTTAGATACAAGTTCACCTGAACGCATCAGATGTCACTGCTAGAATACTTAGATACTGCTCATTCATCACAAGCCTGGTATTCTAAATTTCAATCCTGGTTAAGGGTTAGCTTCAACAGTTCTGAAAAACTTAAGGTTCTCAATTCATTCAACACTAAGTATTATCATACCATGCACATGAGTTGCTAATACACCGTTTATAGGGACCATATATTAAGCGCGAGTACCTTGTTCAATTCTCTTGTGGCGCCTTTGACTACTACGTCAGAGAAAATACTCCAAAATGACTCCGTGTTTCACAATGTACCCTATAGCTATTAGGTAGCAAGACAAGCAGTCCGGTTACACCGACGAAACTTGAACCAGTGGCCACAGGTATTGTACATTTAATCAGCAAGTTAGCTAAGTACACTATTATCTAGGATGCAATAATTCATCCCAAAAGAACAAAGAACAAGGTACCTGCAAGTCGGCGGAGACTTCGACGTCGCTGACAGTAGTGAGAGACGATAGATAACGATCGGCGCCGAGAGCAGCTTCCGGTAGGACGGCACACTGCAAAACCTTGTCAGTGATTAGCATGTCTGAAATCTCTCTTCTTATCTGGTTTGCCACCATTTTCAATCTCCTCGGGTTTGCCATACACTTTATCCTACGTCTCCGACAGCCCACAGGTGTTATCTGCTGCAGCCGTGGTAGTTTGGTGGTGGACATCGGCGGCAAAATCGACGGAGTAAATCTTCCGCTTGAAGCGGTTGTTATTGAACATGTGGTGATTGTTGGAGGTTTCTGAATCAGCAGATGCTGCATTACAGATTTTTTCTTTTCTTTCAATTAAAGTATTAAATTTGCGACTGGAGAATTATTACAAACAGAAAATGAGGAGTGTGGAGTCGCGAAGAACGGAGGGAACAGATCAGAACATCCGTCTCTTCGGAGAGGGTATTTTCGTAAATTGGTGAACTTTCTAGATGGGAAAATCTGAGGATGTGGGCTCCGCTTGTTGATTGGGCCAGATTGCAAGTGTTCTCCCCCCGAAAATGAAATTAGGAGAGTAAATAAAACCAACTACTGCAACTCGGACTCAAAGATAATTCAATCAAGGGTTGGTCGCGAATTGATCCAATTGGAGTCGAGTACTAGAATTCAAATTACTTGACAAGGTAATCGAGTTGACTTCGAGTAAAAAAATCAAAATTTGAGTACTCGTCAAACTTTTATCAATTAGTGTATTTATTATATAATTTTTAATTATTTATTACAAACTTACGAAATTTACTAAAAATTTGAGTTTGAAAACTCCATTGAACTCAATTTGATCGTGTTCAAGTAAAGATAAAATAAGGTTAAACTTGAATTCCAACTCAACTTGAAGGACTTGATGAGTTCAAATTCAAGTACTTTTATTTGAGCACAGTTTGAGTGGTGAGCAGAGTTTGAGTGGTGTGCTACTTAGATTCGATTTGACTCAATAACAACCCTGCTCCAAACTAGCTGTATTTGGGCCTTTTGAAATGGCAACTTTCCTTGGTGAAATTTGCTTGTTTAATTGTGTATTTGGACTTGGATTGCAGCATTTAGAAACAAAACAAGTGATAAAAGGCACACTACACATCTGTATAGATTTTTTAAAGGAGTCACTTATTGTGACAATTGGTGAGAAGCAAGATTTGAAATCTTGACCTCCTATCCTACCAAACCTTAAATGAGCGATCAATCTGATTCTCAAAATTTGAGTTTGGTACCTTGTGCTTGAATTGGTCTTGACGTTAACAATCGAAAGTTATGGCAAAGGAGAAATTGTTTTAAGTTGTCAATATAATTTCTGAAGAGGCGGACTAGAAATGACCTTTTTTTTCAAGAATAATCATTTTAAAGATAGATAAAAAGAACATGATGAAAGAAAATGGCATCTTCTCGTCAAGTGTAATTCAAAATAATAAGTTTTCATCACATTTTTATATTACCAATCATCCTTTTATTTTACATATATCATATCAAAAATACTACAGTGTTATTCTAAAATAAATCTAAATAATTTTTTATCCAAACAGTTGTTTTCTCATAAATCAATTTTATTTTTGCTTTTTCTCTATTGACTATATGTATAACTTGTTCGTCAGTCCAACGAAACGTTGAAATTTTTATAGAAATTTGTAACATTTCTATTTTTCCACGTAAGAAGTTGGTGCAACATATTATAACGGCAATCATGTTTATGGCTGTTAACGGGTCAGGTTTGGACTTGAATCCGGTAATTTTTTTTCAGGTATGGGTTGAGAAATAATTCCGGTATCCAGACCTATACCTGTTTACTCTAACAAAAAAGTGGATTGGATAGGAAATATAGGATTCTGATTGGTATCCGATTCAAATCCGAACAATATATTAATAATTATAAAATATAAATATTTCTAAATACATTCTTTTACTAAATTAACAAAAGTATTTTTATACCAAATTAATTAGATTACCCGTATTCCAAATGAAGCATCTAAGAAATTAGGATTTGGAAGAGGCAAACTTGTTTGATCAGATCTATATTCATCACATGCTGCATATAAGTGCTTTTTACTAAATATCTTGGGATCATGTTGGGATTTTTTTGTTAACATGGATAAAAAAAAAATGAATGATACATGTTGAGTCTTTTCTTTCTGGGTAGACCTGGAATCCCATCGGATTCGATTCGGGAATTTTAAGCACAAGATACATCGGGTATATGGGTCGGGTCCAGATCTAGTACATTAAAATGAGTTTGGGTTTAAAATTTTCAATTTTGATCTAAATCCGATCCGTTGACGAGCCTAATCATGTTGAAACTCTTTTCTATTTTTTCAAGTATAAAGTGCACAATTTCAATAATGACAATTAAGGAAGCAAGAATAATGTATGTGGATGATGAAGCACTAAGAAAGATTTTGTCTTGATTCCGTCACAGAGTAATAAAGCAACTGGAATATCAAAATAGGGAGTTTAGGCTAGGCTGTCCTTGGAATTGAATTATAACATCTAGCTGCCTTTCTTTATTCCATTTTGAGTTGCTTATGGAGACCCAAAATGTCAAATTTTATTGCAACCCAAGTACAATGACTAGGGTTTTCTTGACGTCAACGAATGAAAAACTACAATTCAGGGGGCTTTTAACTACCTTGGGAAGCTGCAGGTGGAGGAGCACATGGGACAAATTTGCTTGAGCACGATAGATCACTGTTGATAGAAGTTTAATATTCAAGATTGTAATTGAGAATTTAGAAGACTGTGTTTGATACTTCCGCCCACAATTTGGTCGCAAGAATCCATAATGAAAAATCCATATGAACAAGAGCATTTTCACGAATTTAGATCGAATTCTTTTTTCTCTACTGATACATTTCGCAATATACCACAGACTCTCCTACGTGGGTGAACACTGTATATGAGTAGTTTGTAGTGGTTCTTTCTTTGGCTTCGTAGTATTACATTCAACTTAGTTTTTTGAATGTTAATTTTATTATTTGAAAATAAAATTGGATCCAGTACTCATGGATTTGTTTGGATAGTGTTTTATTTGTCAAAATTTATTTGATTGCATTATCAACATATTTTTCAATCACCTTTTTATTTTTCGTATATTACGTGAAAAAAAAAGTGCTATAATATTTAGTATTTTTTTTCTTTAGTTCTCCACTATATGTTGAGAAAAATATCTATAGATATCCGTCGGATACTCAAACCCATGAGAGTATGGATCGAAATTTTCTATTTTAAACCAAGAAAAGTATGGGACTGGATCTCGATTTACCAAATTTTAAATTGAGTTTGTTTGGACAAAGATAATTTGGTTTGCAAAATTTATTCTCATAAATCCCAATCACCTTTTTATCTTCCCAATCACCTTTTTATCTCACATACATCACATCACAAAAAGTGCTACAGTAAATATCTCAAATAAATCATCCAAATAAACTCTTATCCAAACAAATGAGTCTGGATCCAGATAAAAGAATTCAATTCAAATTATACCATTGACATGCGTAATTGTGTTAAACATGGAGTAGAAGATTACTCTTTTATATATAAATTTTGTTCGTACATAACAAATCAATATATTAATACACTCGTACATATATAATTGGATTAATCTTATATACATTTTCAATATATACATTATCATCACTAGATATATGACATATGTGTAAAATTTAAAATTTATTCATGCATCATCCATTCAACGGTGATAGTGTATACACAGATACTACATAATTCAGGGAGTAAATACAAAAAGTCCACGAATTGTATCAAAAGTATCTTCTACTTGTGGCAACATATCAGTTATCGGATTACGGCAGTATTATGTAAATCTACTGTACTTTCTATGAAGGGGAAAAAAAAATCCAAAGTACAACGTGGTAAATCCATTACATTCCAAAGGTGTTTTTTGTCATCTGACATTTTCACAAATTCCATAAATAGAGAATTTTCAAGAAATCAAACGTAGATATTCCCCCACTCCCTCCTCCTCTCTACGACTCTATCTCCCACGGTTGACGGTTGACTCTCTCTCTCTCTCGCCCTAGCAATCTAGTACAAGAGGAGCTTTAGCCTCCCTCTCCCCTTTCTCGCTAGCATCTGATGTCCCGTTCAACCGGAAACTGCAACAAAATCAGCCACATTGTCAGAATCCTCCAGATGCTCCGCCGGTGGCGTAAAAAGGCAGCGACGTCCTCGGACGTGCCTGCTGGACACGTGGCAATCCGCGTCGGAAGTAGTTTCAGAAGATTCGTGGTGAGGGCAACGTACCTGAACCACCCCATTTTTAAGAAGCTATTGGTGCAAGCCGAGGAAGAGTATGGCTTCGTCAACCAAGGTCCGCTTACTATACCTTGCAATGAGTTTGTTTTCGAACAAATTCTTGAATTCGTTTCGCGAGGCGGCGAGTTGGGCGACTCAGGCCACTGCATTTGTTATGAGGATTTTCAGCGATTTAATCTCGTCCAATCTCGACCCTTACTTGGCGGGTTTGCCGGTTAGTCTATATATATTTTTTATAACGACTCAACATAGAAGCGCACACGGAGGCGCCATGATCATCATGCCGGCTGAGCGTCGATGATTTGACTCGGGCGAGTTGCCCGAATTCTTTTTTTTTTTTTTCCCTTTTTTCTTTAAGGGTTTAGGGTGAAATAGGCAACTAGCGGCGGCCTTATACTAGTCTCTTTTTTGTTTTTGCTTGTTTTTCTGTTGGGCAAATGGGGATGATGAGAGGTGTTTTGTAACTCAACCGACCGTCCCAACTTTATTCGCGGCCTAAACTAAACTGAATCTCTTGTGAATTTTGGACTTGAAGAAAAACAGAGAGATTTATTATCTAACTGGATTTACTTGTAACGTCATTTTTTGATTAATGACTCTCAATCACCGAGAAATCCGATTAGGATTACAATAATAGCCCGAGTGTGTTTGGTAATTTTGTTGCAATAATTTACCACTCCTTTATGCTCCGATTCTTTAAGATTAATACTTATGTTTGTTTTCCTTTGACTTTATATCTTTTCCATTTTTCCTAGATCAGGAGAATTAGGGGATATATATATATTTTTTTGGGTTGAGAAATTATGTCAGATTAATATCGGTTCAAAGCATTATTTACGAATTCCAATCATCCGAGTCCGTGGTGGAATAAGGTATTATCTTCTAATATCATGCATGCGTTGGCTCGAGTAAGGTGTATTTTCCTGCAGCAGACAGACAATATGGCGTCGCTACTAATTGCAATCATTTCGTTTCTTTCTGCTTAAAACAACGATTTGTTTAATACTACTAATTCGTTCGTAACAAAGAAGCTGTAAAAGATCAGTCGAATCGCAGATCTTTTGTTGCGATCAAAAACTTTTGATTGATTGTTGCATCCAAGCTGGAAAGAATCAAGAATGTGGCGTGACTTTATGTGATTATTATTATTACTCATATATAACTGTGTAAGCA